TAGTTATACTACTAATTTCTCTTAGTTCATTGAAAAGGGTTTGTGCTAATATTGTTTGGACAATTAAATGCCTATATCTTGTACTCTGAGTAAGTTAGAAATAAGAATACACAATGTATTAACCATCGTTACCTCCCTATTATTGTGTTTTGAAAATTTATTTTTTCTCTTTAAAAGAAAAATCATTAAAATACCAGGTTTGTGAAAGGTTCTATTTCATTGTAGTGCCTTTTTTTATTGCTCATTGGTAGAAATAACTTCAGTATTGGTTGGTGAAGTTCTTTCCTATGACAAGACATATATTAAAAAATATATGAAATCTTTTAATAATAGATTTGGGGAAACATGAAAATAATGTATTTCTCTTTTAAAAATTTTAGATGGATTTTAAACAGTGGGTTATTATATGTGTAGAATTTTGTGGTACTATATGTAGTTATGATTAACTTGAAGTGTTTTTCATTTTAGATTTCCAGGTCTTGCAAACATTAGGTTTGCTTCAGCATCAACAAACTGTTCATGGAAATTGGTTGCTATATGTCTTGTTTACAAGTCATTGGAGTTAAGCACAGCATATACGAGCTGAAAAATCAAATAAGGAAATGAATGACATCTTTTGACAGTTCTAAGTTTGCTTGTAAGTTATATTCAGAGTTAGCTTAAACTGATTTAAATGTTTAATTACAAAACAGTGTCGTAACACATAGAAATGCACAATTCAAAGTTTTCATAACATCTAAACATACCATTGAATATGTGATATGGTCTAGCTTCATGTTAGTTCTATCCCAAAACAGGTGAAGAGCCCCCCTATGTGTTTGTTTTTAAGTCAATTTAAAGATTCTTTTTTTTGTCTTTTTGAGACAGGGTCTCCCTGTGTAGTTGAGGCTGGCCTTGAGCTCACTTTGTAGCCCAGGCTGGTCTTGAACTCACAACGTTCCTCCTGCCTCAGCCTCCCGAGTGCTGGGATTACAAGCATGTGCCACCATGCCTGGCACATTTCAGTCAATTTCAGTGATTATTGCAGCAGGCATTATACTGCATTTTATAAGACAAAAAATTTGACTTGCTTTGACTTATATTTTAATGGTAAGTATATTTCCAGAGACAAAGGTGTTGGTCAGTATGGATAATTGTGGAGCATCTCTGGATGCCAGAATAATTTTTTTGTCTCATCACTGGAAACTTTCCTGAGTTTCTTACCTTTCTAGAGTCTGGAATTTGAGTTAAATCTTGCCACTGAAGATGTTTATATGAACAGAAACAAAAGCAGTGGCCCATACAGATAAGGTTATAGCTTTTAATCTCATTATTGTTAGTTTTTCTTATCTCTTTGCATAATATACCTTTTGCTTTGGCTTTTTTAAGGCCTTGAGTATGAATAATATGTAAGCATAATTCCTAACAGAATGCATGTAAAAGGCTTATAGGAAAGAAAATGTCATACCTTTGTCCTGTAGTTTAGGAAACTGTTTAAGAATTCTGTAAAGAAGTAAGTTCTTTTATTTTAGTTTCTTGCTCTCAACTCTATAGCCAAGATAGCCAGGCAATTAATAAGTAATATAATAACGTATCAATATACTATAATTAAAAATGAGTATTACAAATATATTGAGTAATTAGCACTCCAACTCTAAATTTCTTGTATCTGTTACAAACTACAAACCATGAAACAATTTTTATTACAGTATCCCAAAAAGGAAAAACATGCATTGGATTTGGCATGAATTTTTAAGGATCTATCAGATGACCTTTTCTGAATGTGGTTTCCACTGTTTATAAATACTTTTTGTGGTGCTAGAAATCATATTTTTGAAAGGTTTGGTTTTTCAATGTGTTGAGATTTGAAAAAGATATTAAAAATAATACTTGAAAAGTTTTAAACAGTTTGATTTGTGAATGTGGTTATATTCAGTCCTATCAGAATTTTAAGTTTATTGAAATTAGTAACCAAATATCTTTTGTTTTTATGTCTTGCAAAGGGCTCAAGCCAGTTTTTAAGTTGGCTTGGCAGAAAAGTGAAAAGAGGATGCTCCACTTTAACCGATGTCGGCATCTGAAACAGATAACACAGAAATGTTTCTCTGGTCCACATGCTCAAACGGAGAAGCATGCACAATTATTTCTTTCAAGAAGCTTTGTAGTCACAGAATTGAGGAATTCATGGCATTCAACCCACTCTCTTATTGGAGACAAAAATATTATCCTGATGGGAGCTCCTGGTGCTGGGAAAACAACAGTGGGCAGAATCCTAGGTCAGAAACTAGGCTGTTGTGTCATAAATGTGGATGATGATATCCTTGAAAAAGCCTGGAATATGAGTGTGTCTGAAAAATTACAGGATGTTGGTGATGAGCAATTTTTAGAAGAGGAAGGAAAAGCTGTGCTAAATGTCTCTGCCTCTGGAAGCGTAATTTCCCTTACCGGTTCTAATCCCATGCATGAGGCTAGCATGTGGCATCTGAAGAAAAATGGAATAATTGTATACCTGGATGTACCTGTAGTAGATATAATTAATCGCCTAAAATTAATGAAGATAAATAGGATTGTAGGTTACAATTATGAAACACCTATTGCAGACTTACTTAAATTGAGAAGGCAGTATTACAAAAAATGGTATGATACTCGAGTTTTATGTGAAAGTGGGGCTTCCCCAGAGGAAGTAGCTGACAAAGTGTTGAGTGCAGTTAAAAGATACCAAGATGTTGACTCGGAAACATTCATTTCCACAAGGCACTTTTGTTCTAAAGACCATGCACAGAAAGTTTCAACAAAATTCTTTAGTGAAGCTGTGATTGAGGGCTTAGCTTCTGATGGTGGACTCTTTGTTCCTGAGAAGGAGTTCCCAAAATTAACTTCTAGGGAATGGAAAAGCCTTGTAGGAGTGACCTACGCAGAAAGGGCACAAATACTGTTGGAAAGGTGTATACATCCTGCGGACATACCTGCTGCCAAATTGGGAGAAATGATTGAAACTGCTTATGGGGAAAACTTTGCCTGTTCAAAAATTGCCCCTGTTAGACATCTTTCGGGCAACCAGTTCATCCTGGAGTTGTTTCATGGGCCAACAGGATCATTTAAAGATTTGTCTTTACAGCTTATGCCTCATATTTTCGCACACTGTATTCCACCGAGTTGCAATTATATGATACTTGCAGCTACTTCAGGAGACACAGGGAGTGCAGTCTTAAATGGTTTTAGTCGCCTTAATAAGAGTGAGAAGCACAGAATAGCTGTCGTCACATTTTTTCCTGAGAGTGGAGTAAGTGATTTTCAGAAAGCACAAATCGTTGGTAGTCAGAAAGAAAATGGATGGGCAGTGGGTGTCTCATCAGATTTTGATTTTTGCCAGACAGCTATAAAAAGAATTTTTAATGATTCTGATTTTACTGGCTTTCTTACTGTGGAGTATGGAACAGTCTTAAGTTCAGCTAATTCCATAAACTGGGGCCGACTGCTTCCCCAGGTAGTATATCATGCTTCTGCATATCTTGATCTTGTAGGCCAAGGATTTATTTCTTTTGGAAGCCCAGTAGATGTCTGTATTCCCACAGGAAACTTTGGTAACATATTAGCAGCAGTATATGCCAAAATGATGGGGATCCCTATTCGAAAATTTATTTGTGCTTCTAATCAGAACCATGTTTTGACTGATTTTATAAAAACGGGGCATTATGACCTACGGCAAAGGAAGTTAATACAGACCTTTTCTCCATCAATAGATATTCTCAAGTCTTCCAACTTGGAGCGACATTTACATTTGGTGGCCAATAAAGATGGGCAGTTAATGACAAAACTATTTAATCAGTTAGAAAATCAACATCATTTTCAAATAGAAAAGATTCTGGTTGAGAAACTTCAGCAGGATTTTGTAGCTGACTGGTGCTCTGAGGGAGAGTGCCTGGCAGCTATTAACTCCACCTACAATACTTCAGGGTATATTTTGGATCCACATACTGCTGTTGCAAAAGTGGTTGCAGACAGAATGCAAGATAAAACTTGCCCAGTGATTGTCTCATCGACGGCTCATTACTCAAAGTTTGCACCTGCTGTCATGCAGGCTTTAAAGATTAAAAAAATCAACCAAACTTCATCAAGTCAGCTTTACTTACTGGGATCATATAACGCATTACCTCCGCCACACGAGGCTTTACTGGAGAGAACAAAACAGCAAGAGAACATGGAATATCAGGTTTGTGTAGCTGATACGAATGTCCTCAAGAGACATGTGGAAAAAATAATCCAAAATCAATTCATAGGAAAGGTTCCTGAGTAAAATATTTTTCTCCTGATACTACGCATGCAATAATAAATCTCAGAAGTTGATTTGGAGTACAAAAGCATTTTTGTTTATTTTTACATAAATGTGTATATGTATGCCTGTTAACTTTTGAAAATTCAGTGGCCTAATCTCTGAGGCTGATCATTATATCTGCACTGTACCTTTCTAGGTCCTTAATCTATAAGTGACAAACACTAGCATAATGGATGAGACCTTTGCTGTCGTGCTTTGTGCTTAGAAGAATTTCATCAGTTTTTACTGCCTCAGTTTTTACTCCCACTTATAAGAGCACCAAAATGGTATTCAATTTGGTAATTAAAAATATTTATAATTATTAAATTCAATTTTAAATAATTACATTCAATTTGGTAATTAAAAATATTTAAGCACAGTTGTTAAGTACTACAGCAGGAACCATTTACTATTTTCCTATTGACTAGAAAATGAATTTACTGCTCAAAACAACTAATTTGTAAGGAGGAAGTGGTAAACTAATCTGTTAAGATTAGAGTCAATGTTTTTAACTCTTCAAACTCCATTTTGAACTACAATTAATTATGTGTTTCCCACATTGTCCAAATTAGGTAAGTGTCCTGTCTTTCTCTTGCCTTTGGATGTGTATAGTTAGGGTGACAAAGTTTAAAAATCAAGACAATATTTAGGGTTTTTTTTGTACTGGGAATCAAACTTAAGACCTCATGCTTGCCAGGCAGGCACTGTGCTGTTGAGCTATATCCTTGGCTAAGACAATATGTAAATATAGGATATAACAGTCAGTAGAAGTGCTTAGTGGTGGGTTCAGAAATAAAACAACCTATTTCAAGGTGAAAACTTTCCAAAATAAGAGTATCTAAATAAACATATATGTGCAGAAGTTGTAGACAGCACCTCTTGTATTTGAGGTGCATTCCTACGTAACTTGTGTATTATGAGTCTATTCAATGGACATTTGGTAGTTAAGCTCACACAAACCAATGTACATAATTAATGTTTCTGTATAATAACAATAGATTTAAATGTCATTTAATTTGTGAATTTAGTGGGTGTTTTATTTCTGAATTAAAGATTGTCACTGGCAGGACCCATTAGTGTAATAGGCTACTCTCAACCACAAGATGGCATTCCTAACATTATTTGTCTTTGCTGATAACAGTCTTGCTTCATTTCATGGGAGAGCTACTTCCATGAAGAAATAATTTAATCATGAAAATAATTTAACCTTAATGAGCAGGAACAATTTTTAAAAAATTTTAAACCAGTCATGTTAATGTTAAATTTCCACCTCAGCTTTTAATGTTAGTTTGAAAGAAATGAAATGGAAAAACAGAAGCAGTTACAAGAAAATACTGGAAGATTAAAAGTTGTGAAAATATTTATGTATTATTTTATCATTTACTTTTAAGGCTATTTCAGTGGATGATACATCTAGAAAATGGATCTAAATGGGTGGGACTGTGTTTTTTTAAAAAAGGATTATTTTTGCTCAGGAATTACATTTGATGAGAGAACACAAAAGTTCAATCATGTACAACACAAGAGTTATTGCAAGATAGAGTGTAAGTGAAAAGTAATAAAGCTAAGTGCTGTGAAACTTAAAGGATTACTATGGAATAACCAGAAAATATTCCAAAAAGGACATTGATCTTTAGGTGAGGCTTGAAAAATGGAGAGATTTTCTAGGGTGAAGGAAAGAGGAAAATGTTTTATGGAGATGCCAGAGTAGTAGAGGTGAAATTCTTGAGTCTGCCTGCATTTATTTGTGATCAGTTCATTGTCTTCATTGTCCAAATGGTCATTTTATGTCTTCATGTTTTCTCAAAGCCAACTCTGGTTTTTCCCTCTCAGCAAATAACCTTGCTCCATTGGAGAGGAATGAGTTACCATATCATCCCTCACTTCCCCTCATCAAGTGTTTAAATCTGCACTGTAAGCATCCTTTCCTCTTTGATTGGATTAGGCAGTAGGTCTTTCAAAAGCCTTGCATCCTGTTCCCTTTAACCAACTCAACTGCATTATCTACCTTCTCTCCAGTGTAGCTTTTCCTCTCCAATGGGTCTTTCCTTTTTGTGACATTTGGATACTCTCTTTTCATAGTTTAGAAAGCATAAAGAGCCAAAACCTCTCTGAACACCCACATCTTTCCATGTCTACTTTTCTTTATGCTCCAATCAAGGTTAAACACTATGAAGACTTGTTCACCTGTATGTTTTCCTCTTTCTTACTCCATGTACAACTTAAGGATGAATAATAAATACCTAAGTGCTCACAACCTTCCGAGTGGTGAAGAATAGACTCATTCAGACAGTTGGTTCCTGCTGTGGTTCTTTGACTGCATTTACTTCTCTCTGCTAGAGATACCCATTACTGTAAATTTTCTACTAATCATTTAGTTTTTAGACTCTTAATTTTATATAAATGGAATCATATTTTATGTTTCCATGACCTATATCTTTTGCTTAGAAATTTTAAAATGAAGTCAGCCAGATGAGTTAAGCCATGTTTCATTGATTTTATTAATGATATTTTGTAAGTACCTCAGTGTATCCATTTACCAATTAGTGGGTATTTATCTAATTTTTGTCTGTACTGGTGTCTAATAGATAGACTGTTTTGTAAAATATGTGTGGCAAGTCAGTGAATATGGACTTTCATTTGTGATTCTAACAACATAAGGTTTTCATATCTTGACATTCAAAATTGTGGATTTGTGAATGAACAAACATCAATTTTTTATAATTTAGCTTTTTGTCTTTGAAATTATTTTATAATATTATATGTATTGTAAATTTTAAGATTTTTTTAGTAGCAAATAAGGTTTTAAAGTTATATATTTTGGAAATCGGAATGTTCAGAGTAGAAGAGACAGATTGCTTTGTGTGACACTTTAGAATTTAATAGCAGTTCACTTTGAAACAATTGTGGATGACATACACTGTATCTCCCAATCCAGTAAATGACTTACAAATACTTTGTAATTTGTACTACTTAATTAAAAAAGAAAAGAGAAAAATAAACAGCCAGAGTACACACACAGACTCAAAGTGGCTGTTTTTCATGTGAGCATCAAACCCTTGGAAATATCATGCTGCACTGTTTTTGTCCTCAGCCAGGAATATAAGTAAAATGTACAAGGAAATACTTATTTGTACGGGTCCTACCTGCGCATTCCAGCCACTAAAATCAGTTTTATCTCTTTGAAACTTTGACTTTATAAACAAGTAGTCTTCTTAAAAAACAAGGTCTTCTGACTCAAAAAGCAAAGCCAAGAAAGTTGCCAGTGTCATGGAAAAGGAGCATCCCAAAGATAAAAGAACTATTTTGATGAGAGCCCAACAAGAAAAAGTTGGGATTGCTCCCCATAGAGAGATGCTTTAGTCAAATTAGCTGTCTTTGTTTTGTAAATTGAGATATTTTATCTGTTTCTGAATTAAGATTTTTGTCATCTAATTGGTACTAAAAATTGTTTTGAGAAGCCACTCCACTAGAGTCTTACACAGTGGTGGTACATAAGTCATCATTGTAGTCTCTTGAGACTTTCATGTCCTATAAAATGCAGAGTTGTAAATGACAAACAATTTACAAACATTAGGAGATTTTATACTTTTAACTTGATTCATAGTGGTTTTTTTAGTGAATGAATGTATTTGGTGAAAATTTCTAGAATAAATCAGTTTTATACCTTGCGAGAATAAACACTGCTACCTCGTGAGGATTTTTTGTTTGTTTTATAAGCATATGCTTTATTACTATTTTTCAAAATGGGAACTGTGAGGTGGGTATTCTGGAGCTCAAGAGAAATGTCTCTAGGAACCTTTTTGAACAATTAGAAGAAGTAAAAAAAAAAAAAGAGAAGGAAAGCAAGAAAAGAAACCAAGCTATTCTTTCTGTTCTTCAGTTAAGGCTCAAATATCAAGGTGGGTGTTTATTTATTTATTTATTTATTTATTTATTTATTTATTTATTTGAGACAGGACCTTGCTGTATACTGGCTTGAGCTTACTCTGTCCTGTCCTGTCCTGATGGCAGTCCTGCCTCAGCTTCTTGAGTGCTGGCATTACAGATGTGTGCTCTTATGCCCCTGCTCAGTGCGTTAATTTTTAATTGGCTAATTTTCTTTCAGCTTAAATTAGGCTTACTTATATTCATGATGACGTTAAAATTTAATTTGTAACTATCTGTCCACCAATATATGTGTTTTTTTTCCTGAAACTTTGGAAAAACCAATTACTTGATGCATCCTTGGTAGCACATGCCCCACGTTTGCAATTCATGCACACTATATCATTTTTTCCTTCATTAGTCTCAAAATTGAATTGGCTTTTATTTGTCTTATCTAATTTTAGTCCCAGTGTCTGTTAAGATGCTGTTGATTGTAATTGTAGAAAAATGGGTAAACAAGCTGGTCTTGGGCTCAGAAGTGGAGTTGGGTAGTGGTGGAGTGGGATTAGCTGCTACTAAAAGAAAGTCTTTGATCTTCATAGGCTCAGTGGATATAAAAACTGATAGATGACCTCTTTTGAGACAGGAAAATCCATTTTAAATTTCTACTATAGGAAACACAATATAGTGTTAAGTGTTTACTGGAAGATTTTAATTCTTACACAAATTGGGTCTTTTCTGGATAATTAATCTGTATCCTAATTTTTTTATATGCAATAGATGAGCAGGACTGACAGTTTGCCCCATTCTTTGTACAGTGTACAGTTAAGTACTGCTGATTTTGTTCATGGTGCTGAGTAGTCAATCTCCAGATCTCATTTGTGAGACTGGAACTATACCCATTAAAAAGCTTCCCATTCCTTGTTGCTCCCAGCTCGACAACCACCATTGTACTTTCTGTTTCTGTGGGTTTGACAGTTCTAGATACTTCATACAAGTAGAATCTTGGTGTTTACCTTTCTGTGACTGATTTAAAACCATAGTGTCTTCTAGGTTCGTACATGTTATACCACATTTGTTTATCCATTTATGGAACTTGGGTTGCTTCCACATTTTGGTTACAGTGGATTACACTGCCATGTACATAGTTATGCAAATACACCCATACTCTCAAGACCCTGCTTTCAATTTTCTTGGTTATATACCTTAAATGGAGTTGCTGAGTCATACTATAATTCTATTAACTTTGATGAATTCTTCACAAACTTTCTGCTGATGAACCAGTGTTAATTCTACATTCATAAGTAATCTAACAGTTTTATCTTTCTTTGAAGATTTTCCTCTTGGAGTCCTCTATCCTGTTCTAAGGCATATTATAGTATAAAGTTTCCGACTATAGTAGGTTTTAGAAGTGCATGGCCTGAATTGCATTTATTTAATATGTATACATGTGTATCTACCTAATTACATACATATCTAGAGATAAATATATAACTAGCTCTCTAGATATGTATGCATACATACACAAAATAAATGAGCAGATAGTCACATGTTAGGAAAAGTATTAGTAAATCTAAATAAAAATTTAAAAATAAAGGAAAAATACCAACTAATATTTATCACTGAAGTACATCATCAGTTACAACTCTAGGTTGTCTATGGATATAAGAGGCAAAAACTGATGGAAGCATTCTCTGAATATCAATTGATTATATAGAATTTATAGAAAAATATAATTTAATAATGTGTTACACATTGATATCAATAAAATTTATAATAAAGTTATGTATTCCATACACTTTTTTTAAGGAGAGCCACTTACTTTTAGTGTACTGAATATGTGGTAAACACATAATCTTAACATTTCTAAAACGTGGAAAATTTTGAATTCTAAAATGCATTTATCCTATACATTCTGATAAGGGGTTGGGAACTGATTTATTGTAGCATAACAAGATCTTGAATCTCTTACAGAAAATATGTGAGAAGAGGTAGTATTTTACTTCATTTTAATTGGTCATTAAAGTGATCCAGTTTCCCAATTTGACAAAATTTAAGATTGTTTATATTTGTTTTGAATTTTACAAGGCTCACAACAAGTAGCAGAAAATTTTGAAAAATTTATATGCCCTTGGTAGTACCTTTTTTCTGGAACTATTTCCCTAATTTGCTTGAAATTTTAAACATAATTGGTTAACATAATATTTAAATAACTGCCCAAATCAACATGGGTAATTATCAGAATATGCACCACTTCTTATATAAATTCCACATGTGTGTAAAGTTCTTTATAAAAATGTAGTACAATTCTAAAAGATCCTAATAGCCTTTTATTTTTATAAAATTTTGTACCTTTTCCTGAAAAAGCCATCAGTTCAAGAGATACCTCCATTAAATTTTATAGTTAACTATGAAGAAACACAGAACATCTTTCTCTTGAGAAAAAATTGAGTATAACAATATTCTTCTGGCAGCAAAGAGAAGGAAACTATTAGTTTAAATCAGGTTGAGAGCATAAAATTTCTTCAGGCTAAAAGCTGTACCTACCAGGATGAAATTTTATGGAGAAAACAAAACTATTCTTTGAGATTTGCAGGTCGCTCTTGTCAAAGAGGTTAAAAAACACAGGAACTTTATAATTTTGAAAATTTTTAAATATTTTATATTATTTTTTCCAAAAACTCGGATGGTAAATGTGGCAAATAAGAGGTTTAGAAATTAATTTTGTCTGTGTACAGAGTTGATCAAATTTAAAGGTTCTATCTTCTGCTAATTATAAGAAAATGTACAAACTAAATATAAATTTATTGATCTATAAAGGTTTAAAAATTTTGCCAGTGACTACAGATTTGGTCTTCTTCATCCAGGATTCTTCGTCTCTACAAAACAGTATCTAAGAAATGCAATGAAGTCGGTAGTTTACTTAATATATGTGAAGTCAAACCAAAGAGAGAAAGATAATGTTAAGGTCTTTTCCTTTACCTAAGGTCTTATCTTTACCTATTCCACAATAAAGAATGGACAGAATCTTACTTGTTTGATCAATCAATGTCATTCTGAACAATGCTAGATAAATCTAACAATCTAATTGATCTAGCTAAATCTAATTTAGATAAATCTAACTAACAGCTAAATCTTCATGTTTGGGTGGCAGTTCACTATACTTCAAGTTTACACACTTTGGTTGAAAATTTTCAAATTTTTCGTATAACAGGTTATAGCCTTGATCCTTGGGAAGCTTATGGAGAACTTATACAAGTAATTCAGCTTACTACAATCTAGAGCAACAAATATGATCCAGACCAGACAGAAACATAGCATGACCTTTGAAAACTAAATGGATACTAGTGCCCCTTCAAAGAACTGTCCATTAGTATTTGTTTCAATCTTTGAAGAAAGATTACACTTTTGCACAGATCTCTTACAATGCTGGGAACAGTGAGAAGGGCACCTGTTAAGGCTTATATTCTAGATCTAAAGCCTCAAGTGTTCATAGATGTGACTGGATCATGTGTGTGGTACTGGATTAAGGTCATGAGAACTAGATTAATCTACTGATTGGTTTGGCAGAGTTTTGGGTTTAGATCATGGGCAGGCCACCCTTTGTGTGGATAGTACCAACCAGTAGGCTTCTAGTTTGAATGGAATAAAAAGGGAAAGGAAGGCTTCCTGCTGCTTTTTTCTGCCTGCCTTGCCATGGACTGTTTCTCCTCTGCCATGCCCCTCTGCCATGCCACTCTGCCTTGGGCCCAGCTGACTATGGACTGAAACTTCTACAAACTGAGCTAAAATAAACCTTTCCTCCTTTAACTTGTGGATGTTGGATATTTTGTCCTAGTACTGAGGAAATAAGTACCATCTCAATTGTCTCCTAGGCCAACTTGCATATCCCATCTAGCAAAGCAAGACCACAGAGACAACTAGACTTACCCCTTTTGAAAGGAATTTTAAGGTTCATTTATTTCTATGCAAAATATTCCCAGGTCATTTTAGCCTTCTCATTCCTAGAAGTTTGTCCAAGTAATCCCTCTATCTGCAATGTTCCTAATGGCTTTTGTGTTTTTGAAAATTGGTGTCCTGGGCATTGGCCTGACTGATGCTTCCCTAATCCATTTCTAGTTGTGATAGTCTTTTACATCTGAGGCTGTGGGGTGGGACACAAGAAGAGAGACATCAATGTCATATACTCTGGGGTTAAGGTATTGTAGAGGAGATGATCACATATGTAGGAGCCAAGATTTAAAAGTCAAGTGACAGTTACATAAACAAATTAGTGGCCAGAAGGAGCAACATAACATGAAAGGTAGTATATAATGTTCAGTTTGCCTGGATCTGTGTGGGGTTGTGAAGATAAACTAGAAAATCAGGCAGGACCCATGAGTTTACACCTTTGTTAAAGCTATGACATGTCACTGAAGAATTTTATATGGAATGCTATTAGAAAGATCATCCTGGCTACTGGGTAGGGGGGAGCAATTCTGTCTCCAAGGAAGGGTGGCAGATCAGACATACATTGCAGAGGAGAAACAGTTCACATCAGACAGAAGATAGCAAAACAACAAAGGGATGACCAGAGCTTATTCTATCCCTTATATTTTATTCAGTCTACTCAGGGTGGGTAGCACTTGCACCATTACTCCTAACACCCTTGATCCTAGTATTGCACCATGAGTCAATCCCAGTGTCACATTCTGGATCCAGCCACTCTGAAAAGGTCCCACAGGCTTTGGGGGGAACATTTAGACACAAGCCATAACATTCTGCTCTTGGTCTTCCAAACACTAATGCACATCCCTTTATACAAAAGACATTTAGTCCATCTCCAAGAGTTGCCAAAGTCCTAACAGTTTCATCATTGCTGAAAAGTCCAAAATCTCCTCTGAGATTTACGGCAAACTCTTAGTTGCAAGCTGTTGTACAAATAAAAAGAAATTTGAACACTTTCAGTATTCAATGACACAAGGTAAACATTGCCATTCCAAAAGTTACAAATGGGAATACAAAGGAATGGCACCAAAGCAAGTCCAAAATCCATCAGGGAAAACATTAAATCCTGTAGTTCCATGTGCAGCATCCAAGGCAATGTGTGGCAACACGTGAACTCCAAAGGGCTTGGGTGCCTTCACCACTATGGCACTTCCAGTGCTTGTAGCTCCCATGGCTTCTCTCTTGGTCTTTCTCTGCTGCCTTCTTGCAGTTTTCCTCAAATGACCTATGCTCCTGGCTTCTCCAAACTTCTGGGGTCTCCATTGCACCTTTGGCTTCACATTTACAGCTTCCTACACTGCTCTTTCAGGAGCACACTGCCTGGCTTCTCAGGCCTTCTTCTGAAATCTGAGTGGAAGCCTTACTGATCCCACAACTCTTGCATTTGGCGCACATGTAAATCCAGCAACACATGGGTGATGCCAAGATCTGCTACCAGTTGAAGCAGTAGCCAGATTTCCTTCCGTTTTGGCTGTAGGGATCAAGTGCATGGGTCACTGAGCACTCTGAACCCAATCATGAGGAACAATTTCCCTAGGTTGCTATCATTCTGAAACATGATGCTCTGAGGCTGTCTTCTTTTTCTTTTTCTTCTTTTTTTTTCTTTTTTTTGTGTGTGTGTATGTGTGTGTGTGTGTGTGTGTACCAGGAATCAAACTCAGGACCTTGTGCTTGCCAGGCAGGTGCTTATGCCACTGAGCTATATCCCCATCTCTGAGGCTGTCTTCTTAAGCAAAGTCTTTCACCTTTGCAATCTTGAGGTTGTGAAGGCTAGAGTCCTGCTTGTTTTTGTGATGTCCTCTGGTCATCTTTTCTGTTGTTGTCTTCTCAAATAATTCACTTTTTCTTGCTAGTGTTTTCAGCAATTCAATTTTTTCTCTGTTTTATCTTTATAGGTCACAACTTTACTGGAGGTTCCTTTCTGGCCAAACTCATAACAATTTTGAATCATTCTGCTGAGCTCGTTGCTCTTGATTCTCAACATAAATCTGGCTAAAAGTCCCGAACAGTATCTATGCCATTACCTCAACATTAGATTGTCTTGAAATTTCTCATGTAAGATTAGTCTGCTACCCTTAGTCTCAGCCAAAGTCTCTGGATATAAGCAAAATGCAGACAAACTTTCTGACAAGATATAACATGCATTTTCTGGAGTCCAGTAGCCAATGCAGTCTTTCCTCCCAGCAGAAAGCTTCTGAGTCTGGCTTTTACTGGCAAACTTTCTATCAGCCTTCTGGTCTTCTGAGTTCTGACCAGAATATCCCATCAAATACCACATAAGGCATTTCAACTCTACTTTTTCAGCCAGCATCACCAAACCTTTCCAAACTCTTCCCATAAGCCATTCTCAAAGGCTTGTAAACCACACAGTGTGATAGAGTCACATCTACAACCCCACTTCTGGTACCAAATTCTGTCTTCTTTACTTTTCCCTCATTGCTGAGACAAAATACTCAACAGCCAAAGTTAAAGGGCAAAGTATTTATTTAGCTCACAGCTTGTAGAGGTTTTAGTCCATAATTGGCTGGCTCCATGGCAGAGTGGCTGGACAGGCAGGCATCACAGAGGAGAAATACTTCATGGCAGACAAAAGGTAGCAAAGCAACAAAAGGATGGCCAGAACTCATTCTTTCCCTTATATCTTATTCAGGTTACTCAGGGTGGATAGCACTCACACCTTACTCTAGTGTCCTGGATCCTAGCATTACACCATGAATCAGAGGAGACTGATTCTCATGTTTAATTCATTGAACATTCAAATTTTACTTTCTTCACAGGGTTCCAAACTCTTTTC